CTGTAGCCCAGGCCGGTTTCCCACTCACTCTCCTGCCTCCGACTCCCGGAACCATCCTCAGCTCTAAATCGTAACCCTTTTCATCCTTTCCCAGTGCCCGAGCTCCTAATCTGGAGAGCCTCCTCCAAGGTCAGGCAGGGCACTCCTGCAGAGGTCCGGAGGTCAGGGTGGCTCGGCTCGCAGCGGCTACAGGACGCTGCTGCCCTCTCCTGGCGGAGGGCTGCACGCGGGCAGTGGACGCTGGACACGCAATAATGGTCTTCTCAGTTCTTTCTTACTTTTTCCCCCAGACCGGGCTTCTCTGTGTGGCCCTGGCTGTCCTGGACTCTCTCTGTAGACCAGGCTGGCCTCGAGCCCAGAGACCTGCCTGCCTCTGCCTCGCGATGCTCACAGGCCTGCGGGCTTCTTCTTGAATTACAAGCCTGGCTCGCTCCGTCCCCCTAACCCTCACAACAGCCCCCTCAGCCTCGCCCATGCTGGGATCCTGCGCAAGCCCCCGCCTGCCTGCTCTTTTATTTCATTTTGGGACAGAGCCTGGCTCTATCCCGGCCTAGAGCGGAGCTTAGTCTTGGCCCAGGCTCCCCTCAAGCCCCCCTCGGGCCCCCCGTGCTGGGACGAAGGCGTGCAGCACCTTGACGGTATCGCCCGGGAACTCGCGCCCGTGATCCGATTACGCGCTCTCGGCCTGTGTGGACGGCAGCCACCTCCCAGCTAGTAAAACGAGAGTCAAGCTCACTTTAGAGCTCTCTCGTTCTCCTGGCTGTCCCTCCCCGATCCTCCTGCCTCCACTCCCCTGGTGACATGGCTACGTGTGCACCACCATCGCAGTTGGTGCCAGGGATGGTCCAGGGCTTCGCCAGCCCGGGCGAGCCGCGTCCCGGAGCCAGGATCACAGTCCCCGTGTGCCCCATCCGCTGGCTGGTACGGACCAGTCAGGTGGGGAAGTAGGAGAACAGTGGTCCCTGGCTGCAGCTGGACAGCGCTGGACAGCGCTGTGGCGGCCCTGCCTTCGCCGACTCTCTGGGGTCTCCTCCCCGCTGCCCACCTCCCGCTGCCCACCTGCCCTCTGCCCACCTGCCCTCTGCCCACCTCCCCTCTGCCCACCTCCCCTCTGCCCACCTGCCCTCTGCCCACCTGCCCTCTGCCCACCTGCCCTCTGCCCTCTGCTTACCTGCCTTCTGCCCACCTCCCTCTGCCCACCTCCCTCTGCCCACCTCCCCTCTGCCCACCTGTCCTCTGCCCAC